AGCAAAGAGATGGCAATTTCCCTCTCTTTCTTTCTCTTTTCGCTGCGTGGCAGCGTCTCGGCAGAAAAGAGAAACGTGACGTGATTTACATATTTGTGTATAGGTAACGCATCGGCAAGCCTCTCGGTCAACATCCTGCTTCCTGCTTCACGGTATGTCGCATGAGCTCGACCTCGTGCGCGCGTAAGTCATGCACGTGCCCCGTTATACACGCCCGATGATAGACGAAGTGTGTGTATTGGGCACGCAGACACGTCGATAACAGGCGGAGCCGTTCGTAACGGTGATTAATTGGAATTAGGGGCTAACGGGGAGAGGGGTATATAATATGTGTACTTTGTATGACTTCTGCGAAAAGCTAATACTGTGTTCTCGCAACATTTTCGACAGAATCGATAGAGTTCCAAGCTTTTTCTCTTCTAGAGTGTATTCCGCGACACGAGCAATTTTAAATAAAATTAAAAAAACCACATTATTTTTCTGGCATGAGAGCGGCAAACGTACACACCTGTCGCTTTATATTTATATTGCGCGTGAATATTTCGTATGACGCGACTATTCATAAACTGAATCTTCGCAATTGCCGGCACGCTCAAGGGCGTGCTTGCGTGATGCATGTGTATTATGGATATTAACGCGTCGATATCATTGCAGGTGCAGCCAGTCGGCGAGCTGTCGGAGTTATCGAGACGCGGCGGCTGTGACGGACGTCAAGTCGAATTGGCGCCTGCAAATATCCGCGGCGGCACGCTTCGTCGATCCGGCAGTTTGCGGTTTCATCAGAATACAGTAAGCCTATCATCGCCACACACAGTTGCCATCGACTTAGCACTTAAATGCTACGAGTCAAACTCGTCGAGATTTCCTTTTCGAAAGAAAGGAGAAATAAATANAAAGAGTGTAAAACCATCTTCTCACCTTTAAACGTATAACGTGAGAATTCATTCGTTGAAAGATATAATTAAGAAATCACGTTCATTGACTTGTATCATTCAAGTTTTCGCTACTTAAATCGTCACGCATGAATTATTTCACTATACCATGTCAGGCTATCCTGATTTTTCTACTCAATCACATTTCTGAGATGTGTGTTTTAATATATCACGTAGTTTCATAGCTTATAAAGTCTATAACAAAATACACATCACATATATAAAAAGAAGGCTGAAGAATAAAGGGGGCATAAAAATTGAATATAAAAGGCAATCGATTTAGCGCGGAGAGATGGGAGGATGACACAAAGATTACAAAAAATGCATCGGAATTCGATAGGACTGCAGCGTGATGTAGTAGCGAGGAAGGATAAAGACAATAGTAGAGACGCTTCACTTTCCACCCACATTCCCTAGAGTAACGCAGTGGCATAGCAATCGCGTAACGGTACATCTACTGCTTCGTACCGTAATATCTTGTTTCCGCCGAGCTTCGAGCTGCTGTCTAGCTATGGGCATAACTTGTTACAGGAAAAAGCACGATTATTTTGCGAATTTGTCACACAATTCGCAAATGCCACTTAGCAATTAATATTTCAGAAATTTAAAGAATTTATTATGTAAATTTTCTTTATTTACGTGGGAAGAATTATCTCGAGCAGATTTTTAAGACAAACAATTGTTGATACTTTAAACGAATCCTCGGAATTTGATATCTCGTGTTTGTCGCTTAATCTTTTCGAGTTGAGATCTTGCAATCGATATATCTATCGCGAAGCATTAACAGCCGAGAATCACGAGTTGCATTAAATTAATTAATCGAAATCAAATGAAATTCAACAAAGGATAATTTTTTTTGTATCGTTGACCATAGTCGACACTGGGTATATGCGAGCGGCTTACGGTCGTCGACTACAGTCGGTGATCATACCATGAGAGTTAAAAGTCAAAACCCCGCAATTAATACCACAAATAAAGCAACGGTAATAGAATGCGGAAAGAGAAATTAGAATGTAATCCACATTGATCGAATTAACGCTTGGTATAAGCAGAAACGAACATGTGTGCCTCGCTATTTCTGCACAGTATTTCATCGATAGTCCTCCCTTATTTCGCGGCTTCGTTGCTAGTTGAGAGCTTGCGGGCTTTCGAGCTGTCTTCATTAAACTAAACCGTCACGCGGCATAATAGGTATTCCTACTCTTCATCGTGTATGATATTGAAACGCTGTTACAAACACGTCGAAAATGAACAATATCGTATTCGTATTTGAATCCATTAATGAAGAAGAAACACTACGAACCGTATTATTAAAACATTTAGCATTTAACTGTATTTTTTGTCTATACAGTTAATGAAGTCGTATCCGAAAATTATTATCGTCTCAATAAGATTTTAATGATATCGTATTTTTATGATGTGATCAAAATAGATTATGAGGAAATAAGATGATACGTTTGTTACGTATGTAAATACATGAAATCTACGGTAAACATGAAACAGTTTACTTTTGTAGGGAAGACGGTTCAATTGTCACTGCAATTTGATCAGCTCTATACACTTTCCTAACAATCATGTCGATCTCACGGTTAAAAATCAGATTGTCAGTCTCGATTAAATGATACAGATATGAAAAATAACGCAATTTTCCCACAAAGGAGACATTATACGAGCGT